GGCTCTATTCTAGTCTATACGCATCCTGCTGGAGCTCTGGTGTCAAAATCATCAGCTTTGAGTATGCGGCATCAGTACATTAAAAACCAAAAAAACTTCGCTGATTTGTTAGGGAAAACCTGCGCATAGATCCTGGGCTCAAATCCTTTAACCATGCAGCCCAAAACCCCAGGCTCCAAAGCCCCCGACACCCAAAGGCCCGAAAACCCTTACCCTAATGCCCTAAGCGCCCTAAAGCGCCCTGATGCTCTAGAATCCCTAAACCCTAATCTCTAAACCTTACTTGGAGGGTCAGGGGACTTAGTAAGTAGGTTAATAACCCCTATAACCCATATAGTAACCCTAATTATCCCTATTATTAACCTACTTACTAAGTCCCCCTGACCCTCCAACCCTAAACCCTAAACCCTAAACCCTAAACCCCTAAACCCTAACCTCCAAGTAGGGGCGGGAGTCCCTGTCTTGGAAGCAGCCGGGCTTCGACCATAAGTACTTTGCACCGCCCCCGGCTCTGTCTAGCAGGGCTGGCTCGCTCCTAGGCTAAGAAGGGCCTACCATCCCCCCCCAAACTGGGGGGATTTTGGGGTTTAGGGTTTTTGGGGGGGTTTAGGGGTTTAGGGTTTTGCGAGTTAGGGTTTGAGGATTTACGGGCTTAGCGTTTTGGGCATAAAGAAGGCGTGGGACAGTCCCAAAAGTCTTCATGAACGAAGGTAGCCGGCATTTAACATAACCCTGTTTCTGGAGGTTTACGAACGCATCTGCAAGGTCTCCACAACTTCTACGGAGTGCATACGGGAACTTAGACAGTGTTTCTCGAACTCAGGTACTCCTTACAGGGGGGCTATGGATATATAGCGGAGTATTATAGGCGTTAAGGGGGATACTCGGAGTTTTTAATATAGCTCATATACCTCCAACAATTCTTACCCTGAACCTCAAATCCTGCCCTAAACGCTTACTGCACTGCACAGTCTAAACTCCTTCTATCCCCCTTAATGACCCACTTAGTAATCCCCTATATAATCCCCTTTTTAACCACCTTTGAAGGAATGTAAACAATAGCTCACATCTGAAAAGGGCCTCCAAAGTTTGTCTATAAAGGGAAAGCCCCTGAGCATGGGTGGTGGTATATAATATGAGGGAGTTGTCTTTCGTACCCTTAGGGTTTGTACCCTTGGGTTTGGGTCCCTGAGCCATGGAATATGGTCCTGAATAAGGGTATTTGGGACCCAAAACCCAGGGTTACAAACATAAAGGGTACAAACTTAAAGACTTTGACAATAAGAACCCTCGAAACAGTTGATGAACAACCACTTGCCCTAACACAACCTAAAGCGTAAGCCCTAAATCCGAAACGCTGAATAATGTAGCCCAACCACTCCTAAGGCGTGGGGATTCAACAAAATGCTCCATTGGATATAGTTGAAGTCTAGTTATATGCTTCGGATGCTGTAAACACCTTGAACCCTGAACCCTCAGCCAGGGTGAGATTGAGGGCTTGTCGAAGACTAGGGTATGCTTCTGGGGTTTGGGCTCTAGGTTTTTAGGGTCCGCGTAGCAAGCATGATAAGCATCTGAAGGGGGGGGACCCCCAAGTTTGAGAGCGACTACCTGAAAGCAAACGTGCACCTAAAACGCTGGACCAATACCCCCAATCCTCATGCACCTTACAGAAGGGTTTTTCGCTTCATGCAACAGGTCATATTAAACTTCTGCAAAAGACGCCGCGCCAACTCTTCCGAGTTCCCTTGACGCCCTTTCTGTTAGTTCATGTGCTTTCAACATACGCGAGGCGTCCTGAAGCTCTGCATTTCCTTTGGAAACCCGAACATAAAGTCAGGACCTTCTGACCAGTCAAGAGTCCACTGCAGGGGCAAGAAACCAGAAGCCATGCTTGCAAATGAGAGGGAGTCAGTCTCGAATATATTGCTTTAGGGTTTCGGGGTTTAAGATTCAGGAAGTCTCCAAATAACAGGAAAAGTTCCAGGGGGCTATAGTTTAGAAGGCTCGGCAAGAAGAGCAGAGTTTCCTAAGAGGTTGTCGAATTTTGGGATGCGCATCTAGAAGGTACGTCCATGTTCCCGGCTCACCTTTGCGGACCCCAACTTCTAGAAACTACTGACTACTGTTCCTGAACCTTTTTTTGCATGTCAAAGGTTTAAGGCTTGGGATCTTCCTAAACCCAAAACCCTAAACCCTAATTGACTGTGCCGGTCTCACAATGGATTCAGGCATGGGCTACAGCAAAAACTCTCGACATCACAGTGGGCTGATCATGCCAAAACGATGCGCATAGGGTTTAGGGTTTAGGGTATGTAAATATCAAGAAAAATGCACATGTATATCGGTAGGTAGCCCCTGGGGCTACTAATACTAGATGCCATCTTTACATTTGCTGCTTACAAAAGCTGAGTCACGTGCCATGCTAATGCACAGTTTTAATTGAGGACGCAGTCTCTTTGGTCAAAACGGTTTGGGGGTTCAGGTGTTTTAGGGTTTAGGGTTTGAGGACACAGTCTCTCTGGTGCAGGAGGTTTCGTAGCCCAGGGAATTACTCCATGCAGTAGAGAACCCTAAACTCTAAACCTTAAATCAGTAGATAAGGGGCATAAAGCTTGAGCCAGAGTTTCAGGTTCGGTTTCCGGTTGCTGTAGCGGGCCCCTGCAATGATCCCTCTAAATTCCTAACATATAGTATACATCTTAATTTAAGACTACCCTACATTCCCTTCCCTTCCACCAGCCCGCTTACAGTAAGTACGAGTAAGTCTTTAAGCGCTATGAGCTACCCTGTTCCTGTTCCCATACATGACGCTTACATACCCCCCTCACAAACTCAATATCCTTTGGTAGCTTCCTCAAAGGGTGGTGTCCCCGCGTTACATAACTACACTTGCGATTGACTTGTAAATCCCATAACTACAAGTCATAGGACTTATGACTATACTCACCCACACTTTGAGTTACTTACGACCCTACACTTGCAAGGAAAAGGGCCCCTCCCCACATCCCCCCCGAATCAATCAGGGTTCGCAGTAAGGATCTCTCCCGTAGCCCCCTGAAACTGGGCTAGGGTCGCGAGAAGGCCCAAAGGACCACTACCATCCCTATTACTTGGGTCCAGTACCACCCATTAACAGTCAATACAAGGGGTATTGTCATGTGCTATATACAATTATATTGTAGTTGTTATCGACCTTGTTATCCAACTGTTAATGAGTGGGGGCAAAACTCAACCTATTGCTATTCCTCTTCCTGGTAGTATAAGTTTTTAAGTATTGCCATTAATCTTATGATTAGTTCTAATATGCTAATCATACTACTCGGAGGTTAGACCACGCCACCTGGCAAGCCTTGTTTTACAGTGTCTGGGATTGTAGGCCGGGAATGTGGGAATTTGTAGCTGAACGCGTGTTCAGCGCTTATCCGTCGTCCTGCTATGGCCAGGGAGGGCTTAGGGCCTAAGAAGTGACCCTAACACCCTAAACTCTGCAAACCCTAAACCCTAGGGTTCAGGGGTTAAAGCCTATGGCCCAACATGACACCTCCTTCGGAAGTGGATTGCAAGCTTAAATCCTGAATCTGAGATCCTAAGCGGTAAGCCCTACACCCTATGTCCCAAACTTAAAGCCTCCCCTGAGTCTATCCCAGAAGCTAACCAACCTCTTCCATCTGGGCGAAACATGCTCTAAAGCCTGAATTGCTGTGGGGTTCTTCTAAAACATGGCTGTTGACGGAGCGAGCCCAATACCGTCTTGCAAAGAGATTGAATAGCGAAGTGCTACAAAACAATTAGACAATCAATTGGACAAAAGGCACTCGGGTCCTGGATTAAAGGGTTCAGGAGCCTCCTGATTGGGTCATTGGAGCTTTTGCAGCCCCATCATTCTTGATACACCGTGCTTTAGGCCTCTAGAATCTAGAACCTGAAGCAATGGCCAGCAGTTTGCAAGCGATGGTGCGCCTCCTCAAGCCCACTCGCTGTGAGCTATGGTCGATTGGTGAAACTTTGGAAAATTGTAGCTCCTACTTGGAAAGTATTAAGGGGAGTAAGTAATTAGGTTAATACTGGCTTTAACTGGGCTTATTACATGTCTTAGAAGTAAGGTTTATACATATACTTACCAAGTCCCCCTGACCAAAGACAAAACCTAAACCCCGACTAATATTGTATTTCCCATTTCCTGTCCATTATTACTTAGCCCCCCTGACCCAAGTATGTCCTAAGACCCGCTGCGCTAAGCCAGGAGCCATGAACTTTAACAAATCCCGTTGTTCAGCCCTGAACTTGGCCACTGCATTCTTAGTAGTAGTAGTAGTAGTAGTAGTAGTAGCAGTCGTAGTCGTAGTCGTCTCAATCCTAAGCCCTTATTAACCTTCCTGAATACTCTACCAGGAACCCAGTCCAACATTAAACTTACTGTCGGCACCCTCCTCTGGATTTAAGCCATTACCACGTGTGCGAAGCCATGTTTCTGCTTTTTTTTCTCTGCAAGCCCTATACACGGCAAGCCATCCCTGCCTAAACTCAAAACTTTCAATACTGCATCACCTGGGTTTAACTTTTGCTTAGTCAAGGGTACACACAACAATTGCCCTGACCTAAGCCTTTGACCACAGGCCGTGAGTCCGTGCTAGGCTGAAAAGCCTCCTACCAAATGGAATGCCTACATCGTTCTTACACGATCTCCATGGCGTTGGCAAATCCTTCACCCACCTGCCCAGTCTAAACCCAGGAGCCCAAAGTAAACCCATTGTAGCAGCCGCAAACCCACCAGTCGCAAACCATACGTGCCAGGAAGCTTGATACACTCCAGCGTTTAGGGTTTAGGGTTGCAAAACCAAAAAAGGGCTTGTAACAGACAACTCTCGTGTCAAAAGGGGGCTATATGGGGTTTTCTTAGTTTAGGGGAGGGTGCTAGCAGCCGCTACCCTAAACCCTAACCCTTTTTGCTTTGCCTTCTGTGACCCACAATCGCTAGACATCAAGCCTTCAGCCGTTCACTCTTCTGGCTCATCCTGTTCCTCCTCTTCTGTCTGCGCCTCCTGCTGCTCTTGCCTGGGTCTTAGGGTTTAGGGGTGTAAGGGTTTAGGGTTTAGGGTTCAGGGATGCGTGCAGCTTCGGGACTGTTAGCAGGGAATGGAATGCAAATGGGAAATGAAACTGGAACTGGGAGTTCAGCGGTACATATAGATTAGTGCACATACAAGTATGGGATTCAAGGCTATCTTGCTAAATTGCCAATATAAACTGGAGAAATGGAAAAGGTTCTTGAAGCTTTTGGGGTTTGGGATTGTTGGTAGGGAATGGAGTATTGGAAATGAACATGGAGGCTACTGTTTACGGGCTAGGGTTGTAAGCAGGCAGTGGAAGCATGGAAAAGCATGGAAAAGCATGACAAAGAACAAATGGAAGCGGAAGCCCTAAACCCTAAACCTTATAAACCCTAATCCAACCATCCAGGGTTTAGGGTCTGGGCTTGTTTGTAAGGAATGGGAGAATGGAAAGGAAGATTCAGGCTACGAGTACTATGTTTAGGATGAAGCACGGAGCTTAGCCCCTTCGAGTAGGGAGGCCTCCTACCTCGGAGACACGCATGCTTGACCATGCTGGAGCTACAGAACAACCCTGAATGGAAATAGGGGGACCCCAATATAGANNNNATCCCAAAATATTGTAATCCTTCTAATTGGGACCCGAAAGCTCCCAAATATTGAAACCCCAAGCCCTGAAATACTGGGAACTTGCACTTGCCAGTGTGAAGGGAATCATTGAAGCTCGGAATGTTTTCTTCAAGGGGGGGGGGGGGGGGGGGGNNNGGGTTTAAGGCTTACTGGTTTAGGGGGGAGCTATATCAAGATCTCTGTTTTCAGCAGGCCCGAGCACATGGGGAATAATAGGGGAGATGTTTGACGGCAAGGTGAGTTTTACACTAACTCCTACACCCTGAAGTTTCAGCTTGTAACATCAAGAGCTCAAGCTTTAAGTTCCTACCAAAACCCACTTAAAAAGTGAGCCCAGAGTTGCTGAAAGCTCGCCTGGCCCTCAAACCCTCCCCCCAAAACTATTATCCTTGTTATAGGGACCACAGAAAAAAAAGGTACCCCTAATTTCGGGAAGCCCCAGAGATGAACTTTCAACGCCTAAATACACGAAGGCAAATAAGAAGACATGTCTGAAATGAAAGGCAAGGTTGCCAGCTGAGTTCTGTGCCGTCATGCAACCCTTATCCAAACCCCACCGCAAGAAGCCTCTAAGCAAGGCAAAAGCCACGGAACATGGCGAAGTCCCTCCATGCCACCCATGCGAGGTAGCATGTGCATGACTGGTCCCCGACAGCACTCTTGACTTCTAGTCTTGATCCTCCTAGGGACGCCTTCGCTCATCAGAAGAATCACATCATATACTTCCCTGCCAAACCCTCCCAAACCCTCAACCACAACCCTCATACATGAAATCCAAACTTGACTCCAAACCCTGCATCCACGTATGAGCACAGCACCGCCATACCGCAAGGGCGACTGAATCCGCAATCTCACCTCGCATGACCTCATGGGAAAGTCTACAACAAAGGGTAACACATGAAAGGATCTCAAGTACAACAAGCTAGGCCTCACCTTGTGTTCGTTTTCTGTTTGCCCTACGTAGACTCTACGCCATGGTAAACAACAACTGCGGGGCTCAAATGGAAGGATAGAGGTGGTTCAGTTGCCCATCACCCTGCAGATGGTCTTACTATTCGTTTAGGGTTTCGGGATCAGCAACCAAACAGTCATGGTCCTCAATAAGGTCTATGAATGCCTCGGCTCACCCACAAAGATCCCCTTCACTGGATTCTCAGTGCGTGGGTCTGACCCTAAGGCCCCACCTTCTGGATACCTGAGAACCTCAATCCTAAACCCTTCCCCCAATCCGGAACCCTAGTCCTCCAATTTTCAACTCTAAATCCTAAACACCAAGCCCTTGCAACCCAAAACCTTGACCTCAATTCCAAACCCCTGAAGCCTAAAGCCCAAGTCCTACACTCCCAAACTCATGCCCTGTACTAACGCCCCTTGTTCCCACGCAATTAGGGCTATTTCAGGATACTTAAGCCTAATTGAGGAGAATGAATAGGGAACCAGTACCATAGCCCGGGTCCGTGGCAGCTTCCACCTCCTCCACAGTCCTAGCGGCGAGCCGACTTTAGTTGAGCTGTCGGTTGTGGGGCTGTAGGTTTATAAGCTTTGGGGTTCAGGATGCAGGGTTTAGGGGTTGGAGTTTGGGGCTTAAGGTTCAGGGTTCGGGCTTCAGGGTGTGGGGTTGGGGATGGGTAAGGTTGGTGCTGTTGATTGTTAGGGTGCTACGGTGGAGGAAGGGAGACATTATGAGGGTTTACTGGTTATGCTATTCTGCACTTACACCATAGTTGTCAGAGGAAAGTAATCTTCTCAACCGATCGTTGTTCCTGACTTATAGTAATTAAGGTCTCCGAAACAACACTGTATAGGAGTCAAAACTACTGGCATGGTTGACCCTAGAAGCCCAACTACCTGTCTGAAGGGCTGCTGAAACTTATAGTGCGCCTTAAGTAGATAGAATATGGGGTATATGGGTATCTGATTGTAATATACCTGAAGCCATAATCTATCTACTTAAGGGGGACTATAACCCTGCATGACTTCCAGGAACCTGATGTGTACCTACCTGGGCTTCGAGAATGATGTGTATCCGCAAACAAAATCTACAGCACGTTCTGAAAACCCCCAGTGTCATATACCCAATACACGGCGTACATCATGGGTAAGCAGAGTAGCATAGCTAGTTACCTCGGCCCCCCCCCCCTCTCCCCGCACATGCACACTCTGACACAATTGACACTCGTACCCAGTATATACTTTCACTATGCTTGGCATACGTATCTGTGAGTGGACGCGGGGCGGGGGGAGGTGTAGTATTTGAGGGAGGCGGCTACCAAAACCAACTTTTCAAACCTCAGTCCATTCTCCCATGAAATGAGCCACTCAAACACTCAGGGCTGCAATCAAGATCCTGACAAGTTCCTTGAAAGCCATTCGCAGCAAAACACACAAGTTGATGACAGTCGTGGTGCTCCGTATATCTGTTTGAGGTTCAAGGCTTTAGTCTAGGGTTGTATACTACACATCCCCAAAAAACCTCTGACAGAACGCAGAGTCTTTCCTGGGCGCAACCGTGAAGTTTTCGATTCCCTGCTCCGTCACCAGAACGTTGTCCTGTTGGCCAAGTTAACGTGACTCGACGCTTGAATCTTACATGTGGCTAACACAGAATGAGCGAAGGGAAAAGAAAATGGAAATGGCGGTCACTACTCTAACAGTCTAGTATTGAGATTGCATACCTAGACCCTCCACCAACCCTGGAGGTTCTTGGGGGGGACTACATTGGGACTATTATGAGTCGGGTCCGCTCCTTCACTCCTAGAGCCCCTGTGAAGGCCAACATCATTCAACGCTTCACCCTATACCCTTAAACCGTCAATTTAGCTTCACAATGTCATAGCCTGGACTTCCTCCCCGCCTTTTTGCAGGTTTTGCATGTTCTGCGCCGAGGTCTTCCTGTTTTCCACTCTACCAGGCCTGATCCCAGTTCTGGAGTTCCCTAGGAAAGTCTACACCTGAACTATGATAACTACGAACTGCAAAACCCTGATACTAAGTTAAGCCTGGGCCCTCGAACCTCTAGCAACCTGACCCCTAAACAAACCCTCAGCCTCTAAAACCGTTGAACCCTAGACTTGCTGGTTCTTAGAAGGAACTAAAAGCATGTATTATGTAGGGATCCCACTAAGGGTATATTCCCTCATTCTGTGCTAACAACCAGTAATTCACCTACTCTTGTTGCTAAAGCCTGTGTCCCAGCTCTACGATGACCTTGGTGCTTGGTACAGGCGGGGTTTCTCCAGTTCTCCTCTTCAGTAACCAATTCCCTACAGCTTCAAGCGGTCTCTGTACACTAAGTACGCATAAGCCATCAGACCTCAAACATCAAGGTCGAACCCAAACTCGAACCCACAACCGCAACATCGAAAGCCTTATCCCGACGGCTCCCAAAGAGTCCTATGGGAATTAACCGGGCCCCAACATACCTAATTGCATGGGAACCGCTGGAGGTGCTCCGTATGTATAGGTACCTGGAGCCTTTGGGTGCAACCCTCAACCCGAAAGCGCCTCGAGTCGGATGCCGCCGAAGTTGACAAAATCTGCAAGGCGCTCCCAGGCGAAGAAATCCTTCAACTCCGGGTCCTCCTTGGCCTCCACGGAGGGTTTTGGGCCTAGTGCTTTGTAGGAACTGACATGCAAATGTCAAGCCCTTGAAGCTCCCCCTTTGGGGTTGCCCAGGATTAAAAGGCCACCCTTCCCAATTTCAAGAAGGCTCATGGTTAAGTGCGGTGCCCTCATTTAATTAGGCTATGGAACCGATTGTTTGATATGCTGTTTACAGTTTACAGTTCGGTCAGAGCCTAAACAGTGAAGTTTGAAAAACATGTTCCAACCGTAGAACCTCTCTCTTCCGCAACCTCAAGCCGAAGCCTGACGGCCACGGGTTTCATGTGCAGTTAGAGCTTTTGGTTTCCAATGCTCGGCTTGTAATCCGTTGTTCAATCGCTCCCTTTTACAGCCGAAAGGTGCATTTCGCACGATAGCAGCTTGAAGCAAGCTAGAGTGATCAGCGCGACGGTAGACTTTTACAGCAACAAATGCTGAGCAAGAGCCAGCTGTCAAAACCGGTCCCAGGTTTTGAGGCGTTCCAGGGCGGAGGGAAATGTGTACAAATAGAAGATATAATCATTAGACCACCGGGCCCATCATGCACATCCTCCCTACCCTGGCAGTTATAAAAGACCTTAGGTCCAAGGGCTCTTGCCAAAACTTCATGCCAAACCTGGAATCTTTGCTTGCAAGAATGCTTGGGCCGTTACAGTCAAACAGCAAGCCTTCGGACATCTTAGGCACCCCACCCAGACCTCCGGAGTACCCTCCCGCTGTACAGCTGGAATACCTTTAAATAAGACCCATACAGACCTTGTGACCTAAGAGCAGTAGTTGGGGGGTCCTGGTAAAATCTCTCAACCCGAAGCCTTCCGAAGAGCGTAGTCCATGAAATAGATCCCGGGCCTTGGTTGTTGATGTCCACCAGTTGCCAGTGTTTTGGGGGGAGGCGTGTGTAGGATTTAGGGCTTTACGCTCCAAGCTCAAGGTTTAGGTGGTCTAGGTTCATGGGCAGGTTCTTGGAGCGCATAACATAGCCTGAACTCATAGAAGTATAGCTTCTGTAAGGTCTGGTATGCATACGGGCCAGAATCCTGCAGGGCATTTTCAACATAGGAGTCGCCTCTGCATCCCAGAATACTTGCACCAGGGACTCCCAAACAGCGAGCCCGAATGGTTGAAGTCACTACATGCGTAACACGCTTCTGGGCACCCTATATACCAGTGGCTCTATGAGTGTAGGAGCCCGAAAAGGGACCTTTATTTTGGCAACCTGCCATATCTAAACAATTTCCCGCCGCTGAGCATTGTTGCTCACTTCTTAGGATCACAGGACACGCAAGCAAGCATGTCCTAAACACAGTCTTTAACCTCAACCCAAGACCTCAAAAAATCACTAAACCCTTAACGTGAGCTTTAAGGCTTTAGGGTCCATAGGTTATAACCTTGGCGTAGCCTGAGAAAGGTTCTAAGACCCTTTAAGCATCAGGAGCCACAACAAAGGCTAGAGACGCCAAGAGCCCAAGGGCGCAGGCCCAAGGTTGGGTTAGGATTTAGGGAGCTTCGAGGCTCGAATCTAGACTGCATAGAGCCTCAAAGGGACTCAGAAAAGCTTTCCCTGTAGAAATTCAGGTTACCGCACGCATGCTACAACCCCCAGCCACCCAGCCACCAAGCCACCCACCCCAAACACACCCGCTTAAAACAAACATGCCGGCAACCATCCACCTCAGAATCCCCAGCAGCCCTTAGAGCCGGAATTCAAGGCTTCAACCCAGAAATCCTACTAAGCCTCGGCTTTTGGGCCAACCTAAAGACATGGAATTCCCGGAGCCATGGAATATGAAGCAAATTTTCGGTACATGCTCGCAGAAGGCTGGTTGTCAATTAGGATCATGAGAAACTCAAAATATGCCAAAATAATGGCCCTAAACCCTCCTAGAACCCCCTAAATTGCTCAGGATTTAGGGTATCTAGGGTCAAGGTAGCATTAAACTAAGAGGCTCCTGAAATCCAAGCTCCCGGGCTCAACTGTCAAGACCTTGGCGAAAAAAGGGGAGACCAGGGTTTAGCTCCCGCCTTCAATCATCTTGGGAAATGTTGCGTGGTCTTTTGGGAATATACGGAGTCATATAGGGATGTAGCGGCTATGTTACAGGATTGTATAGGGATAGTGGTAAAGGGAAACTACTTCTAGGGTTTAGTGTATATGTGGTCGAACATTTGGTGCCTTATGACCACCCACATATTGAAGCTACAACGGTTTGTCTAGTGCTACTCCTCAACAGCATCCAAAACACAAATATCTCAAAGGTGTGCGCCTTTCCAAGCGGGCTGGCCTTGCACGACTGCTCTCTAGGGGGCCCAAAGAAATTGCTACTATCATTGTTCATGGGTTCAAGTAGTACCCCCCTCTATACTACTACCCCCCTAGGTTCCCCCTTAATTAACCTTAATAAAGCCAAACTATCCCTAAATAACCTTAATTAAGGGGGGAAGCTAGGGGGGGTAGTATAGAGGGGGGGGGGTACTACTTGAACCCATAAATTGTGCGGTCTGCTGGATCCACACTAAACCACAGTTCTACCAGGAGTCTAGGACCACAAGATCATAGCAACTATACCTAGAAAGCTGAGTAGGAAAGGCGCATGACATATTCAAAAGTAGAGTTCACTGGCTACACTCAATCCTCAATACAACTAGGCCCAAACAGGTTCAATGCTTTTTGTTAAGAAGCACCCCTAGAACCCCAAGCATACACACCCAACAAGTCTGAAGCTCCCCCTTTTGAAGAAGTTACTGAACCCACATTACCCTAGGGAGAAAACTGGATCCTTTTTACTGAAATACAAGGAACCCCACACCCAAAAAAGTATAAAGGATCCCTAACATTGATCCAGGTTAAGGATATGTTGGTATCCTGGAAGGTTTTAGGTAGAGTCTGCCCAGGGCAGCTCCTCCGTAGTTCCTTGTTGTATTTTGGTTTGCTCATTGGTGTCTAGGAGTTTAGGAGTCAGAGTTTAGGAGTTCTAAGATGATTCCCCAAAACGAATTACATAGGAGTACCGCGAATATGTGCGTAGATATACACTTTGGACCTGAAGTCGTCCGCATTGAGCCATTTTGGGGGAGAGGCAATTCCCGCATAGGTGCTTGGAGCATTTGCGCCTGTAGCATTTGGATTTCCAGACCCTGGCCACAGTTGCCAGCAAAGCGCCTCCATTTGGCCTCACAATGCCCTCCGAGTTCCCTAGGCCCTAAGCGCTGCTTTGCCCTTACACCGACATCGGCCACGCAAAGGGGTGTATTGCGCTATGATAATATCATAAGGTGATCATCTTCAGGCGTTTGCAAACACAAAAACCGGCAGAACAAGCGCCCACGAAAGCACAACCTATCATGCTGCCCACAAGGAGTCTGTTTTTTTTTCTTTCTTTCCGAGGGCTCGCAGGGACCTGGGGAAAACGGTGACTCTTGACACAATAAAACATGCCTTGCAGACAAAGCAAGGTCCTGACAAATCCTGGCTCCAGAACCCGTTGGACGCGCAGAGCTTTGTAGCCGTCCTGTTGAAGCGGGTCTGTTTTCCATGTATCGGATTTGGGGCGCGCCCAAATCTCAAAACTAAAAGAGTGGCGCAAAACCTCAAAACAGGTCAAAAACCTGAAGAATGTACTACCCCGCACTACCCCAGCTCCACTTAATTTCCGTTTGGCTTTCCATAAGCTATACTACATTGGGTGTCAAGACAGGGTCAAGGGTTCAGTCTTTCAGCTTGCGTTAAGGCGCAACCGGATTGACACAATGACTATCGAGTGCCATAAGGCCAAATCATGTGGGCTAAGGGTTTCTGACATCAACATGGGGCCCCAATGTGCGATTGAATCCTCTTTTTCTAGTGACCACCAGAAAAATTAGCCACCTTCGCCTTCAAACCCCTATTTAACCCAGATGGAATGCCAAAAAAACAGTGGTGCACTGGTGAGTCAGGGTCGCTACATGTATGTGGGAATTGTTCTCAAGGCCCCTGTATGTAAAGAAGGGACCACTGCGAGTGCAGCTGCTTTAGTGTTTAGGGTTTAGGGAAGTTCTGATCAAAGAGGGGACCCATCTTATGGCCACTTTGGATACATTGAACATCTACGATGTGATGTAGCCGAGAGGCTTTCAGGGGGACCAAGGCTCTCCCTGAACATTAAGAATTATTCCTACTGCGAGGGTCTAAGTACCCAACAGGGGGTTACTTATCACATTTGCGCAGCAGGAACTGTAACATAGGTTTTGGGAAGTACATGAGTATTGACTACTTGAACGAGTTTTCTGGGCCTAGCCTCTGGATAGTCTGGTTAGCCTCAAAAGGTACCTCCCACAATCTCATCTTCAAACCTTGCACACTAAGTAAAGGCGCCATCACCACCCAGGAATACCCAGGATTTTCTTTAAAAAAAGACACACGGCCTATAACTAAACCCTCTACTCTCTTTGAATTACGCCACACCATATTTCTAGAAAACTCTAGAATGATAGTATGGGTACAAAGTCCCTATAATCCATTTCCTTCTCCATACATTCGTACTTAGTTAGGCCCCCAAACTCTTTGAACCCTACATGTCCCCAGTACATCTGTAGATACTCCCTCTAGGGAACTAGACCCCGACAGTAAATCCTGAACCATCTTACAGCCCGAAATCGCCACTGTATGGGCAAGCGGATGATTAGGGTTTAGGGTTTGATAAAAAGATGATTTGCTGATTTCTGGGGTAAGAGGGGGAATTTTGGTAAACCCGACCCCCCCCCCCCAAATCTTGAGGGAACTGGTGTTATACAGGTCTAAAGTATCAAGGTACTTATATTGAGTAACAACATGGTCTCAACAACCCTGACCTCTATGACGGAAACTCAGATGAAAAAGAACATGGACATTTGAATGGAAGCTAGGCTTGCTTGGGTTTCTCGCGGTAAAAAACCCTAAACCCTAGGGATTTTTGGCAACCCCCGCCTCCAAGTTGGGACCCTATTGCAGTAATATGAGGAGTAATTACAGGGCCCTAGATCTGGGGCTTGCACTTGCCAAAGTCCTCGTATTGCTACAAGTGCCTGTATAACCCCTCAATTTGACCGTACACACTGTTTTACATTTGACTCTCCATTGTAGGGCCTACCAAAGCCCTAAACCCTAAACCCTAAAATCAAAGCCGTCATTCCATTTAAGTCATGGCATTCTGGGGAGCCCGCCCGAGTATCTCGCTGTGCCCCCTTGGGATAGCCCCCAACCTCGGACACTTGTGGATGTTAGGCATTAGGGTTTGGAATCTAGGTTTTGGGGCTTAGGAAATCATAGCAAAGTTCTCCAAGTGACAGGCCCGTCTAGAGATGTATGAGGAATGTGGGAATTCCAGGTAAAGCTCTTTTGTCCTCGCTC